CGCGCGCGGAAACGGGGAGGGGACGACGACGACAACAAACGCCCAACCGCCTTCGCTGCACTCTGCCCCGCCTTTATATTCGCCCGCGCGCAACCCCTGCTGTCGGCGGCGGAGCACATGGCCCGTCCAACTGGTTGCTATAGCGATGCCTCCTCGCCACAGGTTGCTGACAGCCATTGGCTGACGCGGCCCGGGGCTCCTCTGAACGCCCTCGCCGGTGCGCGAGGCTCTGAATGGACGCCGCCTTTGTCACTCATTTGTAAAAGCGGCTGGAGGTGGCTCTTCTCGCGCTCCCTCCACGCACGCACCTAGGCGCCCGCACACACGCATGCACTGTTTTGGTGTGGGGCTGCATATGTGTGTGTGTGTCCACTCTTGTCAAAGAGAAGCTGAAGGGAGAACAATGAGGGGACCCTCGTTCCTCCCTCTTTCCAGGCTCAAAATATAAATGACAACCTTTAAACGTGCACCACACACGCAATTTGCATGGAAATCTGGGGAGCGGGCAACGTCCGCGTCCTTTGGCTTTCCAGGCAGGGATCTTTTCCTCAAGAGGAGGGGGGAAAGGAGAAATTCAGGCCAACTCTTCACGTCATGCCACTAACGTGCTCTTATTTTAACAGCAGCAGCATTTTAAAATGCAGCTTAAGACTTGCCAGAAATAGGATTGGCGCTACTATAATAAAATGTCTGAGCTTGTCTGTCAGGCTGCGTATTTGCAGAACTCTGCTATTGTTGAGGGGAAAACTTCGCCTAATTTTATTAGCGTCTTGGGAAATGTTAAGTGATTGTAAAGTGCGAGACTAATTTCATTAGTGTTTGGAGAGCAATTAAATAACCAGTTAATACTACTATATAATTGATGTGGCAAAGTTTCTAAGCTAAGAGTCATATTCCATCTTGCAGTGGATCTCAGCTACAAATCATGTCAAACAAATGATGATGCTTCTTGCTGAATCAAACCCTTGGTCCCCTCTGACTCTCTATTACATAGTCCAAGCTTCCACAACTCGAAGAAGGGACTATGGGAACTGAGGTCCAACACATTTGGAGAGCACCAGGTTGGAGAAGTCTGGTCTATTCTGATAGGTAGCAGATTTCCAAGGGTCCAGCAACTGTCCTGCAAGCAGATTTTGGTAGTAGAATTGCAAGCCTTAAACTGGTAACCTGAGTACCAGGAACACCAGGAGAAAATATTTATAGTTATCTGACAAGGATCAATTTACTATTCAGTACTTGCCATGTGGGAGAAGAGAGTAAGAAAGCTCTCTTACATATTGTACATGCTATGATTTGACCACTCTAGGAAAGAATCTAAGGATGGATTTAATATCTCTAATGAACAACCACCTTTGTCACTCTCACCTTCGAATTCCCTTATGCATCCCCTTTTATCAGTATTTGTTCTGTGTGGCCACTTGTTCCTGACTCAGGGAAAACTGCAGCTTTCCAGATGTTGCCGAACTACAGCCTCCCTGACCTTTGGCTATGCGGACTGGAGACACTGGGTGTTGTTGTTCAGCAACATCTGGAGGACCACAGACTCCCTGTTTCTGTTTCAAGTAATATATTTGATATGGGCTGAGGTTCAGTGTGCTACACAATTTTAATTCTACTTCTGTCACTTAATCTTACTCCCAAGCTACAAACTGACTACTCCTTGTTTACCAGATAGTAAAATCCAGCAAATATTATTTAGCTCCCTAGAGGCTAACTGAGCTGAAGTCTGAGCTTAGATGTGGTGTGTGACCTTGAGCAAGTTATTTACCCTGTCTTCTCTAAAAGAAAGTTACTCGGATTGTCCTCAATCTTATCCAGGCTTCACATCTCCCTCAAACATCTCTGGTTGTGGCCCCAATCTGAACCTAATTTTTAAAGCTATCCCACACTAGCCTTGAATATTCTCACCAAGTGTCCCTGTCCTTCTGAATTGCCTTGTAACTGTGTCTAATGCCTCCTGCAGAGCTTTGTAATGCTCGCCAATCTAACAATGCAGGGAGCTTTGCTCAGCTGCTCTTCCCTCTCCACTTCTTAAAACTGGACCCCCAAAAGACCCCATCTCTCCATAACAGAACATTCTGCAAAACAGTGAAAAGTTTGATGTCCCTGATTGTGCTTTTCCTTTCAAAGTGTCTTGTGTCTCTCTTCATTTAAAGAGTGTCTGCTCTTTGGTTTAGAGGGATATGAGTTTGCCAAACAGAAAGAGAATAACATAAAGATTGCAAGTATTATTACATAAAATCTCACATCTCCAAACCTCAGTTGTTGCAAATGCTGGTTATCTATGCCACTAGAGATGTGTTATTTATCCTTTTTTTATTTCAACAGAGTAAATATACATTGCCGCGCCACCATCACTGGATATCAGATTTCTGAAGAACTCCATTTCCTATGGACATGAAATGGCTGGCTAACAATTAATTTGTGTTAAAACGCTGAGATGGTATTCAGGAACTGTTGATTTTCTCAGACAAAATCCAGCCACTAAAGTGACATTTATGTGCCCATCCTTCCTCAAGTGTAACGCTTCTAAACCTGCCAGTGCAGGAGCAAAGGAGAGAAGGGACAGATCTGCAGGTTAAGCCAAACATCTGTTTGCACAGTGCCTTTGAAAATCCCACAGCTGCAGCAAACAGGAGAAGAAAGGAAGAAAAGAAATGAATGGGGGTGGGGGGAGAAGGCGCTCTTGTCAGATGCAGATGACAAGTCTTATGGAGGGCTCTTTAGTCTCTGGCACTCTTCAAGCCACCACATTCCCCTCCCGCCTCCCCCGCTATTGTTTCCCCCCTTTGCTACGACAGCTGGAGATGGCAGACTCAAGCACGGCAAAGTAAGCTTTTCCCTAACAAGCCCTTTTCTCTCCTTTTTCAGGCCCCCAGCTGCTTTTTTAGCTAGCTGCTATACCTCCTCGCAATGACTCTGCCTCGCCCTTTATTGAAGCTGCCTGTTGAATTGTCTCTCCCCTCCCCAATGGGAATTCTAGCATCCTCTAATCTCTCCCCCACACGGCTCGGCCTATGTAACCAATTATGAGAGAGGGTGATTGGCAGGGGAACAAAGAGGGTGTGTGCCCATCTTATCAAATTCGCCCCACAGTTATTTCTATCAAACCAGATTTTTATGCCTTATGACTGTATAAGGCACGAGTCCTTATCATGACGGCATAAGGCACGAGTCCTATTTTATAGATGAGCAACTGGAGATGTGACACGGTTATTGGCCCCCATCACTGAGAGACTGGGTTCATACATTGTGCTAAGCCATGGTAAGAGGAAAACTGTGTTAGTTCATGGTAGCCAAAAATCAGAAGGACCCAGCTAGCACCTTTTCCAACGATCACATTTTATTAAAAGACATAAGCTTTTGTGAGCTACAGCTTACTTCATCAGTTGCACGGAGTAGCTAAACTGATGTATTATTTGTGCTAAGCCAAATCTACATTCTCCAAGACTCTACTGTTTCTAATGTTACATTGGGCATTTCAAAATAATACAGTAATTGTTACTTAGCCTAGAGAGAGCCAGAGCACAGACTCTATATGCCAAAGACCTTAATCTCGGATACCAACATGTGGGGCTGGGTGGAAAACTATTCAGACTCTATATAGCTGCTATAAAGAGTTCAATGGTACAATGAGAAAGTTTGCTGGCCATCTACCTGTAAGAACAGTGGGAAATGAATTTCCAAGATTTGTTTTTATATTTCCTCCATTTTTTTAAAAAAATGGACAAATTTAATGATCTGTGTTTAAATTTTGGATCAGTTATCCCAGAACTGCAACTACTACCACTATCTTCCATTTTGGCCTCCAAAGCACTGTTTATGCACACAGATGAATCTAAAATGAGATATTAATGTTTGATATTCTTCACTATCCTTGAATGTAAATCCCACTCATTCACTAATGGTCCTACTGCAAATGAGTAACTGACCCTCATTAAGCAATTTCATTTAATAATATGTGGGTAGGAATGTATGGATGCATGCATATGTGTGTATGTATGCATATAAACATTCACACCCACAAACACACATGTGATATGAGTATTATCCTGTACAACCAAGCTAAATTAATCCAGGCAGCACTACTACAGCTCTAATCCCATTTACTGCCAGCCCAGGGCTTCTCTCCAAAATAATGGCAACAAAGTCTAACAGATTTCATGTGGTCCTTGCATGATGGAATAAGAGGGAAAACACTACTTTTAACCTTAGTATAGCTAAGGATGACTTAAGCCTGTTTCACTCAGTGCTTTATCATAAATGGCATGGCTGGGGTGTGTTTGTACATGGGAAGGTGCAAATGAGGAAATGTCCTCGGAAACAAAGATGATGCAATCCCCTCTGCTGATATGCAGTTCAAGCTTAACTATATATTTAGTAATGCTTCTAGTCCATAAAGATATTAACTTACTCTTTTTGTTTGATCGTTAAGTCATGAATCGTTTTATGGAAAGTACTAAAAATATCTGGCTCAAGGATTATTTGTGTATATTATGTATGTGCGTGTGTATATATCACACACAGACACTTATAATACTTTCCTTTGACTTGAAAGAAAAAAGGTACCACTTCTGAGCAAAAATGAAGAGCATTCGCTGGGCAGAAATAAACACAGTTCCATTGTCAGGCTGCAGCCTTGCCTAGGAGACAACCCAGATTAAATTCCTTATTTTTAAACATCCATGTAAATTTAAAAATTAGAAATCATTCACTTAACCACACCTGACTACTCAGCGAATGCTTTCAGTCTCACTGGAGGAGAAACAGAAGGTTGGAATTAATAACTTGTGGGACATACGCAAGTGTGTACATATATGCAAACAGACTCCACCTGCCTCAGAGTGGAAATGAAAGTCCATATGAGCAAACGGGCAGAAGTAGAAAACTGAGGATCATCTTCCAGGACTGACACCAGAGCTGGGGATGCTAATTCTCTCCCTCCATTCTTTTTCCTTGCCTATTATTTTGCTGTTGCACGAAGCGTTGGGAGGGAAGGAACTGCTCCAATACACGCTGACAGCTTTTTGCTGCCCTCCACAATCAGATTTTCTACATGCAACTCAAAACTCCCTCATTCTTGGTATTCATATATGGAAAGCAGTTATGCCATTTTAAATACATTTTATCATGTTTTAAAAGCAACATGGCTATACAAGGAGGTGCAATCACCATTCAACTTTTGTACATGTTGGTATCCTGATTCACAATTTTAGTTGTCTTCCATCCTTTGTAAACCTTTGGAAAGGGTTTTGTGTGTGATATTTTAATCTCCCTGCTCTATGTGAAAGTGTCTCTTCGAGTATTATTAGCGGGCATCCTTCTTTGATTAATCAAATTTCTACTCCAGTGGCTAACATTTAAGCCTAGCAGTTAAAATTTGTCCTTTCCTTTCCTTTAAACCACCAGCATGGATTTTTGCATCTTATTTTAACAAGTCCAGTTTGCAAAGCTCTAACAGAAGATAACAAAAATTAGAGAGAAGAATTCAAGGCTTAGCAAAGTAAAAGTTAGCACAGCACATTCCTTTGCAATTGTGATGCTAGTTTTCCCTTGCTTCCATATGTAAGACATTATATGCAGTTAGCTAAAAAACTATTCAAGTGTTCCTATGCTTCTCTTTGTTTCTAAACTTTCCTACTAGCTTATTTTCCTAATTCCCAAGCATTTTTAAAAAATATTATTTAAAAGATATTGGAATAAAGAAGAAAGAAATGGACAGGTAAACTTGTCAAGACTCGAAGGTGATTGCTGTATGATGCAGGCAGGACACCACCTGATGTGCAAGATTACATGCTCCACATTACTGGATCCACCCATATGTACCCACATGGCAGTACAGACCAACATTTGTGGGAGACAAATAAGATAATATTTTCCAGCACTAGCTGGAAGGTACACGGTGGCATTTAAAGCATGGAAAATCATTATGTCCATGGTAAAAGTAAGCTTTCTTAGTGATAACAATTTAAAATGCACATTTAACTCTACCTTTAGGCACACTATGTTGAGAAGACAGGAAAAGCTCTAGGGAGGCAGCTAAGGGATGGGGGGAAGGGAGAGATTAAGATCCTGCATATAAATAAATGAACAGCAATAAGAGGTTTTTTGGGGGGGTAGAGATTATTCAGGATGATATCTACACATGAGTTAAGAACAGAAGTATGTAATATTGTTTTTCCACCCCAGGGAATGTCTGTTGAATGACATTAACTGAAAGTATCCAAGAATTCTTCTCTTCCTCCCCCCACCTCCCAATTCCTTGCTATGAAACAGCTATGCTTTTTTTTTTTGTCAGAAGCAACCTGGGACTGAGAGGAGAGATTGAAATCTTGCCTTTAAAAAATCAGTGCAAACCGTGCAGGAATTAGGGCCATGCATTTTC